AGGTTTGGGGGGGGTTAGGGTAAGGTTTTCGCTTTTTTTTTACATTTTTAATTTTTTTCGTCGCGCTGTGATGACGTCAAATGCGCGCTTTCGTCGAGCGCGATTTTGTCCTCCGCGGTTTTGTGGTGGAACCTTGGAGGGTGGGTGGGGGTCATCGGATCTTGGTGTGTGTTGATGTTTATTGGTCTTGTATGTCACCCACTCCCGAAGGACTCCGGGCGGAGTCTTGCTCTCCTTCTAACTGGGACAGTTGCTCTCCAACAGTCTCCACCAAAATGAGACTCCTGAAAACAACTGAAACTTGACAGAAAGCCTTGGGAGCTGACACATCATTTGCATCTTCCAGTAACCTCAAAGTGCACCTCCAGGGAAACAGCTTAAGTCAGCTTTGACGTTACTTTTTAAGGTCTTCAGGAAGCTAATAAATATGAGGGTTGGTTTTCTCTCCTAGTTCAGAACACATCTCCTCACAATATGCAATCAAGGCCGGAAACCGTAACTGGCTGATTCTATGGGGCTGTCAACTTACATTACCTTTTCACGGGCTCTGTCTGCACAAGAGCTGCGTCTATCATGGCTTTCATCCATAACTCCATTTCCTTCCCTGTATCTGTGCAGAAATAATAGGTCCTCATGTTTGGATGAGCTGCCTGATTGGAAATGACACGGTCGTTTTGTGGGGAGAAAGGTACAATGTTCTGTAAGACAGAAAAGAGACGGTGGGGGGGAGAAATCAGAGGCCATTACTGGTTTCCTTAATCAGTAATTTATCGGTTTCTAGATTTATGCAAGCTGCTGCTAGAAACTCATCCCACTGTAACTAATACAATACTATTCATCATCGTGCTCATCTTCTGAGGCAATTATACTCGAGGAAAAGCACATTAGTATTAAATTTGGAAGGCTTGTTGTTGTTCAGAGCCCCCGCTGAGCTTCTAAATGATTTCTATCAATTATAGAATAAATATTTTCTGCCGGCATCTGGCATGCACAGATTACAGAAATGGATTAGCTGGGATAACCAGAGGGGGAGGGCAGGGGGATGGGGACATAGGAAGTTGCAAATACATACTCACCCATTAAAAACTGAAGTGTGATTTAGTTTACTCATCGCCAAGAACAGCCCCAAGTAGTTCAAATCCAAGAAACAAAAATGTGAAAGGTCAGGACATTTGATAGAAAAAGAAGTCCATTATGCATACAATGAAGAAAATGCACCTGGTAAAACATTTGCTAACGAGAGGACGTCAAATATGGGGAAAAGGCCAGCCTACTTTAATGAGACTACTTTAATTTGAATGTCTCAATTACAGTAATCCTCGACTTACGACCACAATTGAGCCCAACATTTCCATTGTTAAGCGAGACATTTGCTGTGAATGTTGCCCCGTTTTACAACCTTTCTTGCTTCAGATGATAAGGGAAGCGCTGCAGTGGACAAGTTAGTAACCCGGCTGTCATCTGGCTTCCCCACTGACTTTGCTAGTCAGAAGGTCGCTAAAGGGGAATCGTGAGAATTTTGATCACATGACTGTTGTGGCTCAGCAGGAGCCGTTGGAGCTGCCACCAGACTCCGACAGCGAGGGGCCTTATGAGTCGGCCCTGGAGGGTGTGGAGGACTCTGGACAGGGTTCCGACTCCGAACAGGGCACAGAGAGACTGGTTGGCCATCAGGCGACGCCTGAGCCTTGGATCGGTGGGGAGGAGACAAGGGAGAGTGATCCAGAAACCAACAGTAAGTTGTTCCGGGATGCACGCCGTCGAAGAGCTACTCAGCGTCAAGAACAACTACATAATTACAGGAGGTAATTATGCTCAGCTGATAGTTATTAGGCTCCTCTCCAGACTATAAAAGAGACTGCTTGTGCCATGCCCTTCTTGCAGAAGTCAGCGCTTGGACTAAAGAGAAACTAA